TGGCCACTTTCTCATCAGAAAAAAAATTATCTGAGCCTCCCTATCCCATGTTTAGTTTTCATTATTAACATCTAATCTTTAGTTTAATTGAAAGTTTAATCTTTAATTCAATTATATGTTCTTTTGAAGAAGAACAGTCAGAAGTTTCTGGAATACTCCTGATTTTAGAACATGATTCCTAAATGAAATATCCAACAATTTAAATTTACTTTGAAGGTAAAACCAAATTCAGAACCTTTATTGTGACTTTCTTAGTTGGATAATTGTAGAAAGAAATCTATAGATCTCATAGATATCTGTGATTCAGGTGAGCAGCTGGAAGATAGCAGATGGTGAAGAACAGCACTCCCCTCCATTTATTCAGTGTGAAATCGTCACTTGAATAGGAAATATATGTGTGTGTCTTATTAGCAAAAATTTTTATATGGGTATATCCCAGTTAATAGAAATAAAATGATATATATGGACAAAGATGAATATAAAGAGCTTTTACTTATTGTATGTGTGAATTTTTAACCTACTATCATTTTTCAACAACAACACAGAATGATGGTACCTTTTTATGGTATTTTAAACGGCTTGTGTCGAAGTCCACAACCCTTAAAAAAGGTAAACATGTAAAATAATGTGATCAAAAAAATATTGAAGATATGGTTTTAGTGGTGGGCACGAGTCAGAGAGTATAAGCCAATTTAAAATGTCACTAAGTGGATTATTAGATGTCTGGAGAAAAATGATTTGATTTATCTTGCTTTTGCCAGTTCAGTTTCTGTTTTGTTAGCCCTGTTCTGGCCCTGAAATTTCTTTTTTTTTTTTTTTTGAGACGGAGTCTTGCTCTGTCACCCAGGCTGGAGTGCAGTGGCCGGATCTCAGCTCACTGCAAGCTCCTCCTCTCGGGTTCACGCCATTCTCCTGCCTCAGCCTCCCGAGTAGCTGGGACTACAGGCACCCGCCACTTCGCCCGGCTAGTTTTTTGTATTTTTTAGTAGAGACGGGGTTTCACCGTATTAGCCAGGATGGTCTCGATCTCCTGACCTCATGATCCGCCCGTCTCGGCCTCCCAAAGTGCTGGGATTACAGGCTTGAGCCACCGCGCCCGGCCTGAAATTTCTAATTTAGTCAAGTTCTGACTCCCAAAATATCTTTAAATATGGAAATGAGTAATAGAACTTTTATTTTTTAAGTTGAGTTTTTCACAGGCTTATACTTGTAATTTGAAGCTAAAGTAATACTTAAACCATGAATGATACCATTCTTGTTTTTAAAATAATTATGAAAAGGCATTTTTTTGGGTAGGTCCAAGCCTGTCCCACTCTTCATTTTTGAAACATTCAAATTGGTTATTTAAAGGTATGTTACTATGTAGCAGTGTATCCTGATACTGATAATACAAATTTGAATTTTGCCAAATCCATTTGTGTCTGTTTCAACTATAGAGACAGAAAAAAAATGGGCATGCACAGAGTAGTCATGATATTAGTGACTAACCAAATATTTTCCTACTATTGGACATGAATGTCTGAAATCTTAAGACTTGCAACCATTTGAGCAACTCTTCACAGTTGTTCTCTATACCTTGCAGAGGAAAAAGGAAGAAAATTAATATTAAGTGCCACTTTGCATGGGGCTTTTGATATATATATGTCATATGATCTTTATAGGAATTCTGTGGGGAAAGATGGTGATATCCCCTTTTTATAAGTCCACAGGCTCCACAGTTCAGATCTGCCTGTACACATGGCAAAAAAGTGACCAAATGCTATTCACCTCCAAGTCTGTCAGAGTCCAGAGCCTGGGCTCTTCGTTCACCATGCTGGACATTTTAGTTATGCTTTAATTCAATATATATTCAGTTTTGTCATTTTTATGCCCTTGGAATCTTGTCAGATTTTAATTTTTAAAAATTAGAAAATGGGCTATTTAACAATATGAATTTTAAATAAAATATCTGCTTTTAAATTTATTTTACGTCAAGTCATTGAATATGAATGAATTTGAATACTCCAGTGGTACTTCAGGATACTCAGTATATCTACTGAAAAAAAATGACAAATTGAATAGCTGTATCACTGTGAAGTAAGTTCTATAATAAAAGAATAAAATGTGGTGGGAGCACAAAGTAAATGACAAATAAATTTTCTATCTAGGAGTCTCTGCTGTGAGTCTGAACTCCCAGCACCTACTGTAAAGTTGTAATCATCTGTGGTGACTATAGGAGACAGAAATATGTTCAACTAATGCTGCTTAAAGGCTATCTAGTTTTCTTAGAAAACTGAATATTCCTTCTAGACTTTTCTGTTGATAAAGAGAAGAAAGACTCTGAAGGGAGCCTTTGGGGTATCAATAGACAGGAATTAGATTGGTAGTCCTTGCTTCTAAAAGGAAGAGGTTGCTTCTTTATTAAACTGTGTTTTTTGTTTTTGTTTTTGTTTTTTACCAGAAAGAGACAGGTTTGTTCAGTTTGGTATTGAGCAATTCAGAAGTAAATGTTGAAGTACAGTGGAAGGGTTTAGAGTAGATAAAATTTAGATTATCTCAATCTTTACATAACATATCTGAAGCTTTATATAACAAGTATTGTATGTTTATAAAATACAACTTTAATGCTATTTTCAGAAAACCATGTGATAGGAACAAAAAAAGTGTTATTAGATCCCTTATGTAATAAGCTGGACTGTGTAGCCCTCAGTTCAATTTTATGTTTTGAGAGAAAATAACACTTACTTATTGAAGCTAAGAAGAGAGCTCAGAAAAATATAAATAAAAGGTGTATTTTCTTGATTAGCAATAGGATATGAGATTGGTCTCCTAATTGCATGTAGGATCTTTTTGCCATTGTCCATTTTGAATACAAATATGCAGAAATTATAATTTATTTTGTAATTAACAGACTGAAAAGAAATTGCTTTGTAAGATAAGGATTTTCTTCTGTAAAACATAAAGGGCTTCTGAAATTTGTGAGGTTGGTATCCTCCATTAGGTGCAGCATATATAATTTTTCACTCAATTACATAATATAGTTGACCCTTGAACAACACGAGTTTGAACTGCATGGGTTCACTTATGCTGGATTTTTTTTCAATAAAAGTTGCAATTGCCTCTCCTGCCTTCTATTCTACTTCCTTCACTTCTTCCACCTCTGCCGCCTGAGACAGCAAGACCAACCCCTCCTCTTCCCCATCTTTCCCCTCCCCCTCAGCCAATTCAATGTAAAGAGAATGAGGATAAAGATCTTTATGATAATATACTTCCACTTAATGAATAGTAAATATATTTTCACTTTTTATGATTTTCTTAATAACATTTTCTTTTCTCTAGCTTACTTTATTGTAAGATCACAGTATGTAATACACATAACATACAAAATATGTGTCAGTCAATAGTTCGTGTTATCAGTAAGGCCTCCAGAAAACACCAGGCTATTTAGTAGTTATGTTTTGGAGGAGTCAAAAGTTATATGTGGAGTTTTGACTGTGTGTGGTGGTTGGCACCTCTAACCTGTTTTGTTTGAGGGTCAACTGTATTATGTTGCCACAGGCCTTTCTGAATGGCTTAAATAAATATTTCCTGAGACATCGTTTACTAGATATGTGTCAATATGTGTAGATGACTTTGTAACTAATGGAAATAATGTATTTGTACAAAACTATTATGGGGTTTACACAAATATCAAATAACCAGTCTGCTACTTTCTCTTTAAGAGTTACATTTTATTTGAAGGGGAAAAATATGATTTATTTTTAATTATAGCTATAATGCTATCTAAAGTTCAAACAGGAATCACATCAGTAAATAGTGATTTTCTTATTTCTTTTTAAGAAGTAATCATCCATTCAATAGAAGTCATAAAAAGATAAAAGCTGAAAGAAACCTCTCAAGCTTTAGCTGCAGTGAGAATTGGTTTCTTAGAAAAGTGTGTTGGGGATGAGAAAATGATAGCACACACTGTAACATGTTAAGTACTTTGAACTGAAGGATACTGGAAGAGCCCCAGAAGCAAAGTATCCTTTCAACCTTCCCTTGCCCTTCTTTCTTCTGTTCCCCTTTCTCTCCCAAGCAGACCATAGAAACTAGATTTCTCTTCCCCCAACCATGTCATAGAAATTAGAACCCCACTTTCCCAAAGCCAGCCATAAACCTAGAAATATTATTCTAACCTTCCCCTGCCTTTCTGTGTAGGGGCTGGCCATAAAGAAATTCTATGACCTACCTTGTCTGATAGTAGGTCGTAAGACCCTCATTCCAGAAGGAGTTCTGCCCTGTACCTTGAAGGAGGGGATGCTATGTAAAAGACCAAGAAGAATCTGAACATACAGACCTTGCTGGCTTTCCTCCCTCAGCCTGTTACCATTCACTTATACACTTTTGTCCAATTACTCTCTATTCTTAGCTCTCCATTCTTCATTGACTAAGCATGAAAATACAGTGTTCCCCTGAGTCTTCATTTCTGAAGCCTCTTGTGTCATGAAAAACTGATTAAATAAATTTGTTATGCTTTTCTCTTGTTAACCTGTCTTCTGTTATAGGAGTGTTGGCCATGAAACTTACAGTGGGTGAGGAAAGGTATTAGACCTTTCTGCTCCTACAAGTGCAACTTAATACTAACCACATCTGATTACTTTGTTCTTTTTTCTTGATGTTCATCAGGAAAACTTTTTTTTGTTTTAGGATATGTCTGACACTCCAAGTAAAAATGATTCTTCTATTTCCAATAAAGCAGACTAGCCAAAATCATTTTTTTATACTTAAGATCTGGATTGCATTGGTGGCATTCATTTTTTTTTTAAATATGTCATATTAGTTGGCAGTTTTTAACACTACATTAAGGTGGTTGAAAGAGTGGGCTTTGGAGAGAGACCTAAGTTTCAGTCCCATCTCTGATACTTGTTAGCCATATGATCTTGGTCATTAGCTTTGGTTAATAATCTTTTAGAGAAAGTATTAATCATCAGTTTTATAAAAGAACCTATTTCACCATAGTCTTTTATTTGCTTTTACAGATCAGTGTACTGTTACCCGGACATACCTATTCCTTCACAAGTTCTGGTTCTTCAGTGCTGCTTACTATTTTGGTAACTGGGCCTTTCTTGGGGTAAGTACAGATAGCCCAGGCATGATTTCACCTTCTTTTATAAATTATAGTTAAATGTGTAAACTTTTTGTATCTTAGTAGTCCATTTGTATCATAGTACTGTCATTGAATTTTAAAGCATTACTTTCCAAATGATTTTAAATTTGAAAAGTAACACATAGCTTATTTAAATTTACAGGTATTCTTGATTGGATTAATTGTATCCTGTTGTAAAGGGAAGAAATCGGTTATTGAAGGAGTAGACGAAGATTCAGACATAAGTGATGATGAGCCCTCTGTTTATTCTGTTTGACAGCCTTCTCTGTCTTAAAGGTTTTATAACACTGACTGAATATCTGTTATGCATTTTTAAAGTGTTAGACTGACATTAGGATGAGCTAACTAGCTTTCATCAAAAATGGGAGCATGGCTATAAAACAACTATATTTTATTATATGTTTTCAGAAGTAACATTGTATCATAGATTAACATTTTAAATTACCATAATAATGCTATGTAAATATAAAACTACTGGCTTTGTGAGGGAATGTTTGTGCAAAATTTTTTCCTCTAATGTATAATAGTGTTTAATTAAAAATCTTCCAGAATTAATATTCCCTTTTGTCACTTTTTAAAAACATAATACATCATTTGTATCTGTGCCTTAGGTTCTCCAGAGTGATGTGGAATTTTAAAGTGTCTCTCTCTGATTGCCTCCAAATAAAATTTACAATATAGCTGATGAATGTTACTCCCATATGCAACTTGTTTTCAGTTTTCTGCCTAAAATCTTTAGCACCACTCAAGTAGATTTCATGAAAAGATTTCAAACTCTCCTTAGTGCTACAAGAGCATGGCATTCCAAGATGTGTTATGTTGTTCAAATGTCAGTCCATTAGATATCTTACAACCTCTAAAGTATTTAAGGCATACATATTGTTATTGGTAGCTTTTGTTTTGTATCTGACCTCAAAATTTGTATTCTAATATAAATGGGGTATTGTCAAGAATAATCCTGAAAAAATCAGTTTATGGATTAAGATAGATGGCATCATATTTTGGTTTTAGAGATACTTTTTCATTCTAAAGATTTGAAATTTGCAAAAGATATAATGAAAGCTGTATGACATCAGGGTATTTTGAACACATTCTGGATAGTGAGAAATAATAAAAAAAAGGTATATATTCTAGTTTACTAGCGTAAGCACATTAGAACTCACAATAAAGTATGTATCATGATCCTTGAGGTAAAATATCATTAAGTTTCTGAAAAAAGGTTTAGGAATTAACAACTATATCCAAGTTAATTCTTCTCTCCTTTAATTTTTGTGCCATTTTTCTCTGTTCTGATTCTTTGTCTCTCTTGATAAACCTTCACAGCTTTCATATTTGGCTTCTGCTTCTGCAGCTACCCTTTAGCATTATTCACCAGGATTTCATTCCCTTCTGTTCTTATTTTACATTTTCTTTCTTTCTTTTTTTTTTTTTTTAAGATGGAGTTTCGCTCTTGTCGCCCAAGCTGGAGTGCAGTGGCACGATCTCAACTCACTGCAACCTCCCCCTCCTGGGTTCAAGCAATTCTCCTGCCTCAGCCTCCTGAGTAGCTGGGATTACAGGCACGTGCCACCATGCCCAGCTAGTTTTTGTATTTTTAGCAGAGACGGCATTTCACCATCTTGGCCAGGCTAGTCTTGAACTCCTGACCTCATGATCCACCCACCTTGGCCTCCCAAAGTACTGGGATTGCAGGCGTAAGCCACCATGCCCGGCCTTGTTTTACATTTTCTTTGTGGACAATCTCACATACCCTTGACTTCTATCTATACTACGTGTTCTTAAGCTCTGAACTTTGACTTACCTTTTAGCTAGAAATTACTGCTTCAACTGCAACATTTTGAAAATTGAAGTATTCATTTTTGGGGGGCAAACTAAGCCTTCTTCTGCATTCATTTTTTTGACAAATGACACCAGCAGACACTTGATTGCCTAAACAAAAAAAAATCAGGTAGATCTCCATATCTCTTGTGTATAACTGACTCATCAAACAATCATGTCATGTTAATTTCTACTTCCTATCTTTCCATTTGTCCCCTCTTCTCTACTTTCTATGTTATAGGCTGAATTGTGTCCCCTTACAATTCATATGTTGAAGACTTGGACCCTGGCACTTCACAGAATAATACTGTATGCGGAGATAGGGCCTTTTAAAAGTAATTAAAATAAAATGAGGCTATTGGCTGAAGCCCAAATCCAGTATGACTGGTGTTCTTATAAGAAGGGGGAGAGACATCTAGAATGTGTATGTACAAAGAAGAGGCCATGTGAGGATACAATCAGAAGACAGTGGTCTGCAAGCCAACAGGAGAGGCCTCAGGAGAATCCAGTGTTGTCAGTGCTTTAATCTTGAGTCTCCAGCTTCCAGATCTGTGAGAAAATAAATTTCTGTTGTTTAAGCCACTCGGTCTGTGGCATTTTGTTATGGCAGCCCAAGCAGACTGATAAACTCTGGTTCTTGAAATTCCTCACTGGACTTTCTGCAAAGTCTTGACTCCTTTCAGTCTTCTGAACATCTAAAATATAAACCTGATTATTTCATTTCTTTACTGCAAAATTCTTTCAGTTATTTTAGAATGAACTCCATAAGCCTTCATGAGATAGATAAGGCCTTTCTGGTGTGCATCTCTTCTGACTCCAAGTTCCCCTGCCATCCCCACACCAGTTATATGAGGCAGCTAACAAATGGCTCCTATTACTCACATGGCTATGAGTCTTCACATCCCCACTCTGTTGAACTATTCCTTCTGCTTGTAATGCCTGTCCCTTCCTTTTGTCTCCTAAGAAAATCCTTATTCTTCAAGTCTCAGCCTTAGAATTATCTCCCTAGGTCCCTCCTCCCCTAAGTTGCCCAGACACAGGTGCTAGCTTTTCCCTATCCACATGGCACCCTGTACGGTATATTGTGATTTATTGCCTTCATGTCTGCCTCCACTAGACTCTAAGTACTTAAACACAACGTCTGGTTTTTCAACTTTGTCCTTGGTGCCTAGAATAGCTTCTTACACATGGAAGGTATTCAATTGACAGGTGAATTTGTTAGAAAGAAGCCTTAAGCTCGTCTACATGGTTTAAGCATACAAAAACTATTTTGATTAAGGAGGAATATATATTTAGCCTGTTTTTGAGGTTTATTTTGAAACCCTGAAGGTTAGAAGTATTATATTTGTCTTGAATACTCTATATACTTTACTTTTAGGAATGTTTGGTTGGTTTCTGTCAGACCAACTTCTTAGCTTTTGATTTTGCTAGTTGTATTTTTTTAATATATTTTTTTCGCCCTAGATTCTATAAACTTTCTACATATTTAGAAGCTTACTTTTATCCTAACACTAAGGTTTTTTTTCTTCCCAGTCATATGGAATGCCTTTATTAACTTTGTATTTTCATGAAGCTGATTTGTGTTATAAATTCCACTAATGAAGAACATACTTCCTTTGAAGTCCTTCTGAAAAACACCTAAATTAGAGATCATCTAGAGTGACAACTTTCCAAAAGGCCAAGGCTGTCATGTTCCATGTAAACTTCAAACAAGTGATTATTCATCCATGCAACAAGGTCCTGGCAGAATGAGGACCCTGGAACTGACTTCTAGCTCAGCGCTACCATACCAAAGGAAGTAGAAAATGCATATTGCAAAAGAGAAGGAAACAGGAGCTTCAGGAAAGCAAAAAGCAATACAGAAAATCATGTTTTCAAAATATACTACTGAGCTCTTCAGTGAAAGATATGTACATAGTTCAGTAATATACTGTTTTAGAATCATTTCATAGGCAAAGCACAGTAAACATCGATTACAGCACAGAATTTAAGTATTGACCTTGACCACATAAAAAGACAGTTGTTGAAACCTGGAAGATGGAAGAAGAGGGGTGGAGAGAGACCTAAGGGGAAAGGAGTCATGTTGATATCCTCATTTTATGACAGGGATGATGGGGAGAAGAGAGAAATTAAGAAATAGTCTCTGGTACAGGGAGTATATATATTGAAGGGTAGCAGAATATGCCACCCCAAAACATGCCATTTTGGCATAAGAATTATTTTGAGCTTAGCAGATACAAGAAGGATGCTTTGACCACCCCTTTTTCTTCCTAAAACCAGGACATAAAACTCCCATGTGGAAGATGTCCTGCCTATACCAGAAGGAAAGTAACATTTTTGTCACAAGGGCTGAAAAAAACCTGTATAAACAAACCTTGGTAAAGTAACCTTTATTGTATTAGTCCATTTGCATTGCTATAAAGTAATACCTGAGGCTGAGTAATTTACAAAGAAAAAAGTTTATTTGGCTTACTGTTCTTCAGGCTGTACAAGCAACCTGGTGCCAGCATCTGCTTCTGGTGAGGCCTCAGGAAACTTAGAATTACGGCCTAAGTAGAAGAGGGAATGTACATATCACATGATGAGAGTGAGCAGAGGAGGTTCCAGGCTCTTTCAAACAACCAGCTCTAGCATGAATTGATAGAGAACTCACTACCACTAGGACAGCACCAAACCATTCATGAGGGATCTGCGTCCATGACCCAAACACCTCCCGCCAGGCCCCTCCTCCAACACTGGGGATCACAATGAGATTTGAAGGGGACAAAGATGCAAAATACATCTCTTACCTTCCTGGTTACTGTTCCACCATTTTCTGCCCTAGCCCTGGCCTCTGTCCTGTCACATTTTCATAATTTACTACTCTTTGTCCAATTCAGTGTATAAGTATTCAACTCTTATTGATTTGTATGCTTTTCTCCCGTTAATCTGGCTTTTATTACAGAGCCCCAGCTGGGGCTCCTAAAATGGACAGAGAAAAGATTTTTTTCTTCCCCTACAATTGATTAAAGCTATGGAGGTAATCAATACAGCATCTAAAATGGTAATCCTTTATCCAAAATGTTTGGGAACAGAAGTGTTTGGGTTTTGAGTTTTTTTATCTTAGAATATGTGCAGAACACATACCAGTTGAGCATTCCTAATCAAAAAATACGAAATCTGTAATGCTTCAATGAGCATTTCCTTCAAGCATCATGTTGATGCTAAAGAAGTTTCAGATTTTGGAGTATTTCAGGTTTCAGATTTTCAAATTAGAGTTGCTCAATGTGTATAACAATGTTAGGAGATGGAATAAAAGGGAAGGAAGAAAAAAATGTCTCGAGAAATTCTCTTACTATAGGAAGTCAGTAGACAATATTTAAATATATTGAAGATAAAAAGTGTTTAAAGGAGAAATTTTATCAGAAGATAAAATAATAGCCATTGTGATTATATGTAAATATGTCTTGGAGTTTTCTGGCAGCCGAGAAAAAAGATGATGGATAATGAGGATTTTACATTTAATAGAAGGAAGCACTCAGTTTTCCTCCTGATAGTTTTTTCTGGCACTAAAATTTAGAAGGAAGTTACACTGTGAATTCTTATATAAAGAATGTTAGTGAACAAATGTCTTTGCTAAAGTTTAAATAGAAAGACCATATGCAAGGAGACAGAATTTGGGATCTCCAGGAAAATCATGTTGGCTATCAAGAAGTCTCAACATGGATTAGCTTTGTGTGTATGTAATTTATTCACTCAGCAAACATCTAAACTTGTAGTTATTTCAGGCACTGGATTGTGGCTACGGAATTTCTGCAATTGAGAAGATAAGACCCATCATTTCAGAACTTGATCTAGGAATTAATAGCCGAATGGCCTTTGGCAGTAACTGGACCTTGTCAA